ATATTAAGAGTGGCAGTTCCAGGAGCCAACATTGACACTGATCTTTCAGTGGTCATTGGGTTGTGTAACACTTGTTTGTGACGCTTATATTTTATATCAGTTTCTGAGCAACGTTCCATTGCTTTTATTCGCCTAGCAGGACCATTTAAAAAGACTTCGGCTCCATGGTATTTGACCACCTGCATCGCTGCATTGAACGTAGTTCTACCACCTGCATCACTGAGTTGAGCTCGTTCGAGAGCAGCTAAACCTGCCCCTGCCCATGTTCAAAAATATATGGACAAAGCAACCCTGTTTTCTGATACAGCTATCTAATTCCGCCGGTAATCATGGTATTTCCGTTTTTGTTTATTTCAACGTACATTTAATTTTTGCTGTTCTGTTTTTCTTTCCCCATCTCGTGTCACTGTTCAACAACAGACTAAGTCGTGGAGACTTACGCGTAATAACTGCAGTGATTCATCAAGATGATAATCATCGCCTTCTTATTAACCCTCGTCATCATGATGATCTTATTGGATCATTGTTGTTTTTCTGCTCCTTCTCCTTGTCATAGTTAATTTTTTCTTTAGATTAACAATGCATTTTTTGCTGTTTCATCATTTTCTCTTGATCCTTGGCTAAAGCTAGTCTTCTTCGTTGTAATTCAGTGACGACAGTGATAATTGTCATCTGGGTTCCAGTCAGATCGCTAAATGCATCTCTGAATTTTGCCTTCGTTCGCACACCTCTCGTCTCGTTAGTAGCTCCTTATCGTGTGGCGTGATGAGCAGGACTTGATTTCGCTGTTTGGAATTTATTTACGACAAACCCCTCGCTCCCTCCAAATCGTATTCCTCAGATGCTGTAACATACAACAGAAGAAACGCTAAGGTAGAAACGGAAGCGGAAGCGGAAGGACGCATTCGTTCTTCTACTCAATCTGTAAAAAAATGTTCAGCCGTTGCTGTTCCGTACGAAACCTCTAAGCAGCAAGCGTTTTCGTTCCGCAGTTCGTGGACCATTTCAAAGCGCGGCCTGCGCCGAGTGAGTCTCTGAAATATTGTGGACTGTCATTAGCAAACTTGTCATTTTAAACCACGGTCGAGGATCGAGTGAATAGGACACGGACATAGCATGCAAATCAATCGATATATCGATGACAGGTTGTCATAAAGTTCTTATTGTATCGAGCTTGTTCTGTCGGTCATGTGAACTAGAAAAGTTTGACGTCCAACGCTTAAAAAGTTTATGTGCCAAAGCCGACCAATTCTAGTGTTCAGCGCCGCTGGTCTATGATTGGATAGCGCAGCTGAATTCCGCCTGTGCTCGCCTGACTCATGGCGATGAGTAGTGGAGCGAATCAGCGATAGCGTCGAGGTACATGCAGTGCAGTGCACGGTGTGAATAGGCTGAAGAAGGGCGACATGAAGATCGACGAGAATAATCACGGTACGGTTTTGAAGGAAGGCCAGTTGTTTCGGTACAGTGCGGGTCTGTTGTCCCAGGGAGGGGCATGGAAGGATGTGAGGGCGGTTTTGAATGAGGACTCGACCTTCCGGGTGTACCGCGACGAGCAACGGAACCGCAAGGAGTTCGAAGTTCGTTTGGACGGCGTGGTATTGTTTCTGGCGTTTGGAAGGGCGGCTACGAAATACGGACCACCAATGATCAACATCGCTGACCAGAAGAAGGTCGATGTGGGATGCCTGATGGCGGTGCCTCATTCAAAGATGAGCGAGAGCATCACTTGGTTCGCGGCTCCAAACTTGCAAGAGTTGGAACAATGGATCCGGGCCATGGCCAAAGCGGTCGATGGCAAGGCTCGTCCGCCTAAATTGGGTAAAAAACCGGTGGCTGACAAGATCATGGCCGGCTTGCGGGAGACCGTGCAATTGAACGACAAGCCCCTCGAATGGGAGCTGTACTGGCTGGCCACTTCGCTGACCGTTGACCATGAGCTCAACAGCAGCACTGTTGTCGCGGTGGATAACGAAGAACCGGCGACGACCACTGCTTGGAGGAACCAGCTGGTGAACACAACCCCGGGAGAGGTTCATAGCATCACCCACGAGTCCACAAACCTCGAGGAGCTGAACCTCGAGCCTGTGACCTCGATGCCTATTGCAAAGACCGGCGCTTTCCAGATGACCGGTGATGCAGTCACCAGCGAAGCGGTGACCGCCGCCGAATAATGACAAACTACCAGTGCCACCACGATACGAGACATGTTCCCGGACGTTTGCTGACCATCTCCGTTGTGTACATACCTGTAAGGTAATGTTTATTAGTGAAACTCTTCCTCTGTTGCTGTCGAATTCAGGAAGAGTACCCCATCCGGTTGATCGTTACGTTCCACTGTTGTTACAATCTGGTTGTACAAATACCCCTGATTCCGATGATGACTAACACGATTTGTTGTTTTTTCTTTTGCACATTCGGTACTCATTGGCGATGGTATTTGATCTATGTATTATCGTTGTTTTTCCGACAAGTCTCGTTCACTTTAAACACTGGATAAATTTGAAATAAAATTAGCATAAATTGTTTGCATAACAAGCAAAAATAAAATAAGCATGAATTGGCATAATTTGTTCAAGCGTTGATGGTAGTTTCTAAAATTCACTGTGAAAGTTTTTTCATGCTGTAAGAAAAACTAGTAAAGTCAAGATAGGTTTTTTTAAATGAGGAAAATTAACCACGAAAATTTTATATGATGTGGCTTTGTTTACGATAGAATGGAAAAGTTCATTACTGTTATGATGCCGGTGTCCCCTCAAACGAGTGTTACATCGTTCTTTTCATGGAGATACGGAGTGGCTGTGACATCGGTTTCTATTCCGTCAACTAACAGTGCTTTATTGTAAAGACAATGTCTAAAGCTGTGGCAAAAGTGGCAAAAACAAAGACATGGAACTTTCTGCATCCTTTCCCCCGAGGCCTGCAGTCCTTCCCTCCGATTTTGTCCTTAGACAGTAAGTTTTCACTCGTAATTAACTTTTACTCGATAGCCGTTCGCTTCAAGCAGATGGCAAGTTTTCATCGTGAAAAAAAAATATTTCCCGATGCACTGAAACTCGTCTGTCTTCGGGCTGAACATCGATTTGTGTGGAGCAGTATCCTATTTACGTAGTTGTAATATTGTTTTATGCATAACAACTCCAAGACCTGATTCATTTATATTGATTGACGTTTATGCGCTAATATATAAGGAGTACCAGCTGTTGAAATATCATTCGTGACGAGCGTGAGGTGGCTCGAGTGCTCATGAAACGATGCGAGATGCATCTGGCACTGCAGCTGTTCAAATGCTTCAAATGCCATTTAGCTGTAATCTGCTAAAGTGGCTCCCGTAGGAAACTAGAAGCTGGAAAACCATGCAATGCTCCGTAAAATCTGATCCTGGAGGCGTCATGCGTCATTGATTAATATCGATTCATTTCTTAGTTAACCCGGTCAATTAATAATTAACGTGAGCCTGTCTTCTCTACATACATGGAGCCGTATCTCCTCGACATAGGAAACCGTTTTATATTTACTTAAATGTGCGCCTATGGTTTAAACTGTTAAGTTGGCTAAACCTGATACAGTCGTATAAGGCGCAGGACACTGTTGGCAGTACTTTTACGAGCCGAGCCTTTTCGATAATTTTACCGCTGCCATTTTGGAGTTGGTTTTAGTATATCCATTCGAAGCCGTTTATAATTGCATGATCTATGAGCCTTGGAAAACAATTGATTTTTTGCACCATGCAGGCCCTTCGTTATGCCTTCTTTCTTCACAAGAGTGATGAATGGTGAATAGGGAAATCACATTCTTGGTTTTATTTTATTTTCTTTAGTGTTCACGTTCCAAGATCTGTGCCGTAGCTCTCTGTAAACCTAACTTCTTATAACGATCAAATTTACGCGTCATAATAGGGTAAAGAATGGAAGCACATTCTCGTTGGACGTTGCGATAGCCGTGACGGATCGTAACGAACAGTGAATCAGCATTTGACATTACCGCTAATGATAAAACAGTACCAGGAGAAGAATTAGCTTACAGTATGAATATTTGGAGCACTGTCTTGAATAAAAATGTTAGCAGCCGCTTTGTCTA